TGATCAAATGAATCCACGAAGTTCCTTCCTGTTTAGGAGGGCGATAGCTGGATCGCATCTATTGTCCTTTAGTTAAGGGTTGGATTCCTTCTCGAGTAGTCCAATGTCTAGATACTCAGTTTTCCTTTCGAGGAAGGCCTTGGTAGTTTGATTTTAAATCCGACTTCTTGAAGTCTTTGGAAAAATTCATCTAACTATTACAACGCGATCTTATGAACTACCAAGGTCTGCTCCAAGACAGCAGATGAAGTAACCATCGTTCTAAAACAGACGTGGGTTACCCAGTATCCATGACCGGCCGAGGTTGTCATGGACAGAGAACGTGAGTCCCGCGCAGAGGTCGAGAAGACTCTCCGGGGTGAACATGGACTTCGTCGCAAGTTCACGCGCGTCAATCGTGAAAAGATTCACAACATCCGTTTCGAAGCAAACTGGAAATACATCAAGGAACGTCGCCAACGACTTATCCAGAAAAACAACGATAGGGAGAACGCGACAAGTGTCCCTCATCAATACAATGTCAACGATACTATGATGATTCATCAGTATCAGCACCGCTAATACGGTCAGCCGACGCACAAAGGTCCTTACCACACAGACCGAGTCAATAACAATGGCACTGTGCGGCTCCGACATGCTACCGCCAGTAGCGGCACAGTCTACCAGACTTGGAACATAAGGTATTTACACCCATACAAGGCCTGATCCCCTTGTAGGATTGCCATCGTGCGACGCACATGTCTACATCCAATCTCCGGAGAGTGCCCCGCACTTTAATTCATATGTTCTCCTTGTCCGACTGATGTCGTGCCTTCCGTGACCCTTGTCAGGGGGCGAATGCAATACACGGCTCTTAGCCTTATTCGCGACTCGATCCTAGATAGGGTTTGAGTTCGACTCATGACTGAGTCTTTCGTGAATAGTCATTGAGACAGGGTTCTCATGACCGCTAGTCATACTAGGTCGATGGTGAAACATCGCGCTAGATATTTAGCTGGCGTGGAGAGATTCCACGCTACTAGATAAATGCTAGACGAACGTTCCGTTTTTGGATCGTGGAATGAGTAGGATTACTACCGCAACCTACTCTATCACACTCTACAGTCTCCCGCGGGAGTTCAGATCTACGATCCTTTGATTGTGGATCTCTCTCGTTGATTAGTTTTCATAGCTTTCTAATCCTCTCATAACTTTCATTCTCTCAAACTCAAAATACTCGAAAGATCTTTACACTAGCTTTTAGCGTAGTGCACACTGCACCTTCGGCCACCAATGGCCGTGGATCTCGCAGCCGCGACCTACTATCATCATCTTCTTCATCTGATGAAGAAGCGGCTCCGCCTCCAATCCGTCATCGCAATCAAAATCAACCTGCCCGACAACACACAGATGACGATGGCAGCGAGTCGTCCGAGGCGGAAGAATTCAATGATTATTCACAACTCACAGGAGGGAAGAGGCAACGCTGAAGCGACTGTTGCATCCTATTAGTAGTAGAGGGTGTAGGCATCTATTATCTGGCCGCATATCCTCCAGAAAACAGTGGTAGCGGCTCTTCGATCATCATGGTGGCATATTGCTCTTTTTGGTTTGCTGCCAGAGTTTACCTGAATATAAACTTTTATCTAGCATGATTATTTTAATGTAAAGGCCACCCCGGTGTGTGGGAAGCCGGCAAGGCAGGCGCTTGTGGACCCTCCGGAACCGATGTGGGATGCGGAATGTCATAGCATACTACCGTACTAGTATGGTATAGGTACCTGGTACCGGTACCAGCGTACCTGCCGAATTGCCAGGAAGTGCGGCAAATAATGAAATAGTTTAATTGTGATAAATTAGTGATTCATGAAAATGTTTAAATGGTGATGAATTCAATTCCAGATTTTCATGTTTTGCAGGACCTTCCAGATCTCTAATCATTATGTCATAGCCACAGCCACCACATGTGCTGCAGTTCCTGTATCTCGGGTAGCTATGCTCTTACGGAAGCTACCATAAGAGCTCTATCTCTCTACTTGGATCCCGACGCTTTTCGCTCAGGCTTTAAAAACTGCCACGATTTAAGGGGGATGTTTAAGGGGTGTTTGAAGATGTAAAGATTTAAGCTTTTTTAAGGGGATTTTGCATATTTAAGGGGTTGTTGTTAAGAGGATGTTTATTAAAGGGTTGTTTATTAAAGGGGATGTTCATTCGTGATAAGGCGTTTCAGTGAAGGCTTAATGGGTTGTTTTGAGGACATAGGGGTTTTAGTTAGGGAGTTGTTTTTTTAAGGAGATGTTGAAAATTTAAGGGGTTGTTTAAGGGGTTGTTTCAAACGGCAGTCAGGGTGGCAATTTCAAGTTTTTTAAAATCCTGAGTGAAAACCGTCCGACGGTCCTGGCAGCAGAGTGAGTTGATTTTTGGAGTCGAGTGACAGTCTCAGTCCACTGGAAGCTGGTTGGCCTAGTAGCTAATAGCTTCTTGTGGGGCTCTGCGCTGTCACAACAGTTGCGATGACTAAGCTCTTAGGATGAATAAGATGGATTTTATTTGGACAGGACAGTTGAAGCCGCCAAGTATGAAAACAGGACGTGTGATTAGCTGGACATGCATTCCGTTCCAGCCCGCTGTAATGCTGCTATGGAGAATTCGCACAACGCACACCCTGCACTCCAATTGCTGCGCAACAAATGGTCCCAAACTGCTTTTTAGTTGGCTGCATGTTGTATGTATGTTGCCTGTGTGCTTTTTCTATCCTGTTGCTACTCCTCATCATCGCCGTTCTCTAGTCCTTGCTGTGGCAGGTCTAAAGCAGGAGCATTCACAACCTTGAGATCAGTCTTCAGATACCATGCCTTGAAACCCTTGAGGAAAAAGAGCAAAGACAATGCCAGCATTTCTATCTTGATGTTTGGAGCTAAACGAGCGGCTGGTGTCATGTTTTGACCAATGCCAACTGTATACGTGATGATGGATGTGTAAATCAGACCAAGACGACAGGTAAATTGTAGATGCATGCAATCAAGTGAATGACGTTCAGAACGATTGTTTGTCTCCTTGACGTCTCCTACAGGTACTAGTAGCTAGTAGAGATTGCAACGTACCTAGAATTGCCCAGGCTCCAATCATGAGATTAAGTTTGATAAACATGGTGCCTTTGCTCATGCGTTCGCGATCAGCCATGTCCTTCAAGGAGTAGATCATGGAGGACACCAGAAACAGGCGAGCCACACTGGACCACTGCAAACTGATTTCAAACAATGACCTTCCGATGGCTGATCCTCGGTACTGACATTGGAAGCAATCAATTAGGACAGGAAGAAACGTTATGCACAGTGGTGCAGCAGATTGGCGACGGAAAACTTACTCGAATGTAGAACACTCCTTCCATAAAGCAAGACATCATGCACGTCAGCACCAGCAGCAGACAATTTCGGTAGGAAAGAGATCTCTTCTTGGTTTCATTGGGAACTCTCATTCCCCGCAAAGTGGATTGGATACCTTGCAATAGTTCTTTGGTGGCTTTGAGAGGTGACAACCATTGAGCTTCTTCCTCTCGTGAGGATACCCCTCTGCTCCAGCCACGGTACGCCACAGCTACACCGAAAAGCCTTGCGGCATTCATGGTGGCGGACAATAGAATGGCGGGTCCTGCTGTTGGCAAAAATGCCGCCTCCCCGGGAACGGCAAAAAGCCCCAACAAGGAGAATCCAAGGAGACCCAAATTCAACTGTTTGAAGGATGCTCCATGAAGGTGATCTATATCGTTTGCCTTTTTCAGAAGGATTGATATCCCTGTGGCGAGACCAAAGCCTGCCGCACAACCAACTTTGGTGGCCAATCTCCTTCCGAGGGTTCGGTCGGGCATCAAAAGGATTGTGGCAGCCAATATGCCATAAAGGGTGCTCAAAATGCTGTAACAACGTCTCATGGAATCTTTGGCCGGAGTGGATTGATACGGCTCTCCGTCTAGAGATGATGATGATCCCAAAAAAGTTGCTCTTCTTGGGAAAGACAAGTCCACATGGTTTTGCCGACACGAAGCTTCTTTATAATAATATGATGGCAAGCAGACGGTATCTCGTCGCTGTATCAACGCGAAGGATTCCACCTGTATACATGGAATCACCAGAAGAATCACTGCTGCACTAATGATAACTACGAGCCTCATGATGTGTACTGTTCGAACATAGAAGCAACTAAAAGCAATGATGTTGTCGTCGGATGGAAGATTGAGGTCCATCAGAAAAGAAACAACACACCGCTGTGTTATAAGCCATGGCAAGCTGTGAAAACAACATTTTTGACCACTTGAGGAGCCGTCCCGGAAGGAGAAAGCAAATCAGCCTCACCACGAGTCACCACACCGCACGGCACGATGAGCCGAGGGAGTGAGGCCCAGCTAGCCTACTGAACATATCTTAGAAAAGAAGAGTAGCCCAACCAGCTGAGAGTAGCAGCTTCAAAACGAACTTGATAAAGATAGGTTATCTTCACTGCTCTTTATCCTTCTCTGGTTGCTGCTGCACTCCTTGCAGTGCAATCTCATATTTGGATGCTAGATGATGTTCCAACATGTGCCTCTGAGATGTTGGGACGCGAATGGGAAGCTCTGACAGCTTGCGCGCGTCACAAATACTGGCATGAAAGGCGTCCGGGTGCTCTGTGCTACTACCTTTTTGCATCCAAACCACAGCTTGGGCAGGAATTGCTAGCTTCTCGGATCCTTTGACAGCTCTCAAGTCTTGTGCTTCTGCTTTTCTCATTGCTTCGACCATTTCTTGACTTGGTTCATCGTAGCCCCAGTCAATGCGTAGAAAGTCCCAGGTGCTCATTCCTTTTGTTGCCGTCTTGAGAGCAGCCATGCTCCTGAAGAATCGTCGCAAGTGATAGACGGATAAAAAGGGAACCGTGTCGTCCCCGTGAATGTAAGCAGTGGTGGCCGCCACCGCTTCGGGTGCTGCACTGAGAGGGTGATAGGTGGGAGGTGGAGCAAATGCAAAGCATCTGATCTTATTGTTTGGAATGCATTTTTCGTGGTAGAGGAGAATGGTAAGGAGGGTTGCTACCCCAGCTCCAAGTGAATGGCCCGTAACGACCAAATCATAGTCATCTGGTAATTCTTGAAGCTTGGCCAATACATCATTTTTGGTCAAGTCCCACATTTTCTTGGCTACTTCCGACATGGCAACATGCCCCAGTCCACCACAAAATGGGGCTGTGCAGTGCATGGCATGGATAGATTCGAGAAAGTCGTTGAGTTAGATTGCAGAAGCATGATGATATTCACGTTACAACATGTCTTGACACCTTGGATTGACATGTTCACTACAGTACGTACCAGAAAAGGAGACCCAATCACATATAACCCCCGATATGGAGAATGTCCCTCGGATGGCAAATACAAGAGCCTTTCTCGAATGATCGACCACGACGTAGTGCCTCAAGACATCCATAGATCCACCAGCAGTTAAATGGCTGACGACCATATCTTCCTTTTTGCAATTGAGATAGGCGAGCACTTGGTTTTGGTCGTCAACGCCATCGCTCCGGCCCCCCAAGCGATTGACTCGATCGATTCCTTCCTGATCGTCGGTTTCCAACAATGTCCCAAAAATGACGGCGCCTCCATAGGCGGCCGTAGCAAAATGCATAAAATGAGCTGCCTCGCTCATGGACGGTATGTTGTTGTTGTTTTTGGGGAGATGATGATTGTTGTTCCAGTTTTGCAAGTTGGGTGGAGTCCAACTTGGTGTCTTGGACTCGACGGTCCGCCCCCAATCCCAACATGCCTTGGACATCGTCGTAGACGGCTAGATTATCCAGAAAACGAGGACCGAGCGCCAATTTCATTTCCAAATCGAGGCCATTGTCTTCCAAAAAGGTTTGGAATCGCTCCAGTGCGCCCGCCCATTGCGATGGAGGCGTGGCCAATGTGTCCAAAACCGCATGCCACGCAAAGCCAAAGCCATTGAGCGTCATTCCTACCAAATGGCGAAAGGTGGGACCATCGAACGAGATGTATCCACACGTAACTATCTTGAGGGCATTTTCTAGCAAGGGAAGAATAAAGCCCAAGGGTCGAAAGAAAAAAAAGGATAGACAGTGTAGCAGGAAGGGAGCACCGCGAATTTGAAATCCCAATGTGTGGAGGCATCTCGTGACGATTTTCCAGCCCAACGCCAGAGGTAGTAGAATTCCAACACTGAGGATTTGAAGCACAATGGTGTTTAGGATAGTCCAGAGACGAGAGTGTGCAGATGGGGCAACATCATCCGTGTCTTCCAAGATCTCCTTGGGCTCGTAGTCCATGCGCAGACTCTCTGTGCTTGCTTCGGGAGAAAAGACCACACTGTATCTCAGAGTCTTGCGCCTACGCGCAGTGCTTTCAGGCTGGGATTGTGACGACATGTTTTGCTTGCTCTGTGTCCGATACTAATATTGGTACAGCAGTTGTTAGACCAGCTAGCACTATGTCGCTTGCTAGCTGTGACATGTCCGGAACATCAAAGGGCGACTTTGTCACTTTGGGGGTGGCAGACAAGATCGCATTGGTTGATATTCCCGGAAATGTAAGCCAGCGGAGCGGTACAATCTGAAGAGCTAAAACGTTCAGGTAGCGCATCTATGTAGTACTAGTATTTGTTTTTCCTCATCACCCAAGCCCATCACAACTTTGTAGCCCAAGGCAAGAAGAAGGCAAGAAGGCTCCTCGCCTGTTGCACACGGGGACCTGAGTACGAGTAGCTAGCTTGTAGGGTAGGAAGCAACTTGAGGACCTCCGTGGGATCAACTCCGCTCCAGTACCAAAAGAAGCAAGTCCTTGTTGTGAAGAAGCAGTGGCGCTCGAAGAATGCAATAGGTCCATTTGACAAAACCCATACAAAGAGACTTGATCCAAGATCGATAACTTTAGATGTCCGAAAGTGTCGTTCCCGACGAGAAGAGGATCCAGTGGTAGTAGTACTGGATCCTGCTGGTGACTATGAACTTGGTTGTGCTGTGTACAAAAGGAGTCAAGAGACTTGCATCACAGGAAGAGCCAACGGTCAAAGACCAGCCATGACTACTGGACAAAGATGAGCTGGGCCCGGGCAGTCGGATAGTAGTACCGTAGTGATAATGATGATTCCAATCACGAGGCTCTCCACAGGGCAACCCGACAACTCACATCCCAATACAATCCCGAAGAGATGCAACTCGCACCGACAGCAAGAGCGTCAATGAGCTCAGGAAATTATGCGTTTATTTTTAAGCCACCCCTGATGATCTCGACAACCTCTCGGAAATATTGATGTATGCCCAGTTGGTTGGCAATTAAGGGCATGTTGTGACATTGGAATGGGTTCTGGATTGAGCCTGACAATTGCAAGCGTACAAACAAGAATGGGGCATCCTGGGTACATTGATTAGGAGGAGTGGGCCTCCTGCTGAAAGCGAAATATCGTTTCAATGTGAACCATCCTTGAAATAGAAACAACGCTGGACTCTACATCGACCCCTTTCTGGGAACGACGCATGTATCAGGCGAAGGTGGTGTGTACATTCGAGAGGGACGCGATTACGAGGGCTAGCACATGTAACATGCATGTCTGGTCTTATATTCTTTTCGTTTTCGTTTTCGCTACCACTTCCACATATCAACCTCCTCAACAACATCAACACACCGAACAAACACGCGGAATCCAACACAACTGTCGCCGTATCCGCGAACCTCCAATGACTGCAATCGACCATCGCGAGCAGCTACCTCGCAGTCAACAAGCACCTTGGGGTCCGGTCGCTGCACCAGCAAAGATTTGAGGGGATTCGCCATTGTCGCTTGCAACACCACAGACCAATCCACATCCGTCAAAACGGGCTCCTCGCTCGCACTTCCATTCTTCCTCTCCTGGACCACCACACATAGGAAAACTTGCCCCAAAGAACCTTGCCCTTTATCGAGACGCTGCTTGTCGACGGATTTCCTGAGTTGATGCACGAAATGCACAACCTCCTTGGCCAGATAAGCCGACACCTGCTCAGCGTTCACGGTCAAGTCCAAGACCAGACCGGCTTCTGGCGACACAGAGAAACCCTCTCGAGTCAGCCACGAGACGTTGAAATCTTCCAGGTGCAGATTGTACGTTTTTCCCGCAGTTTCAACAACCAACTCTCCTTCTGCTTGGAGTAGCTGCAGTGCTTTCTCTGCATTGGATCCCTTCCAGCTGCCGGGTCCTTTCTTGGCCAGTGCCTTCTTTTGTTTCTTCTCGTCGTTGACAATGAGAGGCCCGAATTCCAGCTCCAATGCGTTCAGAAGTTCCTTCGCCTCTTCCTTGTATCGGGCTCCGAGCTTGCCCAAGTTGGGAGCGAGCACCGGCTCTTGCACCTCCTGCAACTTTTCTTGGAATTGCTCTTGGCTCAGTACACAAACCTTTCGCACATTGAGCGCAAAGCCAAGCAGCTGCGCCAGTTCGTCGTGCGAAGTACTCTCAGCGTCTTCCTTTCGCGAGACCCATGCCTGAGCCAGGGGGAGCCTCCCGGGTCTGTCACCCTTGGCGTGAAGAGCGCGACCGGCTTCCATCAAGGACAAGAGCCACCCCATTTGCTTTTCTACGAGAGGATCCAGCCAGCTTGACACATCCGCGGGTGTTGGCCAGGCCGCAAGATGCACAGAGTGATTCGGGCTGGCAAATCCAGTCAAGGATTCCATGAGACTTCGATGCAAGGTATCGACAAAGAATGGCGCCAGGGGCGCCACTAGCCTGGACACGTAGAGCAGGACTGTCCTCATTGTCTGCAAACAGCGCGTCTTTGCCCCTGGCTGAAAGGTGAGGCTGGGGTCGCGGGAGAAGTGAGCGCGGCTCAAGCGAACGAACACTTTGCTCAGATCTTCTCCAACAAACGTCTCCAGTGTGTTCACTGCAACGTGGAATTGGTCCTTTTCGAAGCTCTCGTTGCAGCTTTGGACGACACTTGCCAATCGGCTCAACACCCATCGATTCAAGACACCAGGACGGCTGTAGTCACCGCCGCTCTTTTCTTGTTCAGGAAGAGCAGACCATTGCGTGTGCCACCACTTGGACACATTGAACAATATGCAGAAGAACTTCTGATTGGCAGAACGGACTTTCGGGACATCGAAGCGGCGATCTGCCCACGGGGCACACATTCCCAGCAAATACCAGCGCACAGCATCCGCGCCTTCTTCGTTAAAGTGATGCCAGGGATCAACACCGTTTCCAAGTGACTTGGACATCTTTTTTCCGTCTTTGTCCAGAACCAGCCCAAGAACAAGGCATTTCTTGAACGCGGGTCTATCAAATAGCGTTGTGGATAGAGCCAGCAAGTTATAAAACCAACCTCGACATTGATCCTGGCCTTCTGCCACAAAGTCCACCACGGGGTGGTCGGCGTTGTCTTTGGTGTCGTAATGCTGGGCGAACGGAGCGCATCCAGAGTCAAACCAGCAATCCAGGACATACGGCTCTCTGGACATGGCTGTGACTGAAGAGCACACGCTGCATTGCAGCTGAAGAGAGTCCACTGTGGTAGTGTGCAGGTCGTCCAGCATTACTTCCTCGCAACCAGGGATAAGCATGGATCGTAGTTCGGCACTGCTGCCAACACAGCACTCAGCCCCGCAACCACCAAGCTCTTTGTGACAAACCCACAGCGGCAATGGGCAGCCCCAAGTGCGTCGACGGCTGACGCACCAGTCCCGGCTTTCCTTTAGCCAATTTCCAAATCGGCCGTCCTTCACTCTCTCTGGCGCAAAGCGGACCTCTTCGCGGTTCAGCTGCTGCATCCGGACACGTACCGTCGGATCTCCCATGGTCACAAACCACGACTCCATCGCATATCTCAGCAGGCGATGATTTTTGTTCCTCCAGCAATGCGGATAGCTGTGGGTCAATTGTTCGACAAGACAGAGGCGTTCTCTCTGTTGGAGCAGGTCCAACACCTCCTCTTGGGTTCGTTCGCATGTGACGTCCAGCCCTTGAAGCGATACGGGCACGCGAGAGTTACCCATGAAGCAACCGTCTTGTCCGACGACATGCTGGCACTCGGGGCGGCTCAAATCGAAACCAAGGGACATACACAAGAGGAAATCGTCTTCACCGTACATCGGGGCCACGTGTACCAGCCCTGTTCCTGTCTTACTGTCGACAAAACTACCCGCGACAACTCGCCACAGTTGGGTGCAGTCCTCGCCTTGGTTTTCTGCCGGAAACGGCGGTGCGTATTTTGCACCGACGAGTTCAGAGCCTGGCAGTCGTGCAACAACTTTGGGCTTGTGTGCCGCAGAGAACATTTTCTTTTCCAGATCTGGAAGGAGTGCCTCGGCCACACAGAGCACCTCGCCCGGGCGGAAATGGCTTGTTTCGCTTTCGGGGTGTTTCGGCCCTCTGTCGCTGCCTCCCTCTGCTGCTGCTGAGCCCGCTTCAGTCACCTCAACGAAGACATACATCAAAGTCTCGTTGACAGCGAGCAAGACGTTGCCGGGGAGCGTCCACGGGGTACTTGTCCACGCCAGCAAGGAAGCTTCGGCCGCCCCACAAAGCAGATCCGTGAGCTTGGGTGGGAGCGATGCTGCCACCAAAGGGAACCGTACGTAACAAGTGAGGTCGGTGACCTCTTTGTACCCCACCGCCACATCGCGGTTTGAATAGGTGCACCCGGTTTTGGGAGAATAAGGCATGACTTTGTATCCCCTTTCGAGGAAGCCCTTTTTCCAGAGCTGTTGCAGAGCCCACCATTCCGACTCCATGTATTCCAGATCCAGGGTGGCGTATCGATTCTTCATGTCTGTCCAATAGCCCATCCTTCGAGTCAAATTTTCCCATTCGGCTTGGTACTTCCAAACGCTTTCGGCGCACAGCCGGTTGAAGCGTTCCACGCCGAAGGACTCAACCTCCGCTAAAGTGTTGAGTCCCAGAGTCTTCTCCACCTCTCTTTCTACTGGCAAGCCATGTGCGTCCCAACCGGCCTTCCGTTCCACCACGAATCCTTGCATGGTCTTCCAGCGGCACATGAGATCTTTGAAGGTCCGAGCCAACACATGGTGCAATCCAGGCATGCCATTGGCGGTGGGTGGCCCCTCTTGAAAAACGAAATGCTTTGTGCTTCCATCATCTTGCTTGTTTGCGTTCACTGATTGAGCGAAGGTGTCCTCTCGGTCCCACTGAACCAGCTGCTCCTCTTCCCAGCGGACAGGATCGAACGTACTTGGGAACTGCCCTAGGGCATGAGTGTTGTCGTGTTCTGGTGCGCCCTCCCGACGCTCAGACACAAATAAAGCACGGTGGGCTTTCTGTGGGCTTTGGAGCGCCGCGCTTAGGCATGCTTTCTGTGTCGTTCACCTTAGTTTTGTTGGGGTCCATGATATATAATTCTTTTGTGATGGAGATTTGCTTGATAGTTTTGGTTTTCAAATTGCTTCGCAACTTTTTGTGACCTTGGTGGTGAGCACGGAGAGCCAAACGTGTCCAGGTTTGGAATTTTGGCACTTTGCTCGGTCGATCAAGCAACCGTGGACCCCCTCTCACTCAGACCTGCCGTAGCTAACTTCCCTATCTGACCCCCGTACTCAGAGGAGCTGAAGTTTGGTGGCTCTCTAACTAGCTAGCACGTGAAACGTGAGCCCACAGGTGCGGGTTTCGCCGGTGCTTCAATTCGAAGAACTTGGGAGACGGTATTATTTGTTTTTAGAAAAAGATGTATTTTTTTTCTTCGAGTTTGTAGCTGGTAGAGCTGCTGGTACACTTTCTCAGAAATATACCTCAACAACCTGACGACAATCGAATCTATTTCGATTCCAGCAAGCACACCGAAAGAGCTTCGTTGACTACCGGTACCACCGAGGATTGTCGCACTCTTTGTGAGTTACTCCATCGTTGTGCTGGAGTCCACAGGAGCTACATTGTAAGTTGCCTTGGGGAGAGGAGGACAGCCGTAAGATACAATGCCAAATGAAACATGAAAAAAGAACCGTCTAGACATACCTTCAACCTTCACTTTAACCATTTGGACTGCGAGAGCAAACTGTCCTTCCGATTCTTCGCCTCCATGCGCACTTGCTTCCAGCGATCAGAGATAATGTCTTCGATTCCTGCCACTCTGGAGTGTCTCTGCTGGATGGCACGGACGATATCTCTTGGAGGCACCGTGGGAAGCTCAGAGAGGAAAGCATCATATTATGGAGCTTTGAGAAGTGTATAGACATCGAGTAGGATGGCCTCATCTGTCTTTTGCTTGGCTTCAAAGCTGGGTTGCACGTAGCTCATGATGCCAATGACTTCTCCCGTGTTTGGATCCTGAGCTTTGAGCACTCCTGTTGCATAGTGACTACGGTTGAACACCTTATCTGCCACTTGTTTGAATGCGTGTGCATCCTTGGATTTCCCGAGGAAGGGACTTTCGGACGCGCAATAGTTATCGAACTGGTCTTGTAGGTTCTCCTCTGGTGGCTCAGAGAACTCTGCAAGTGTTGTGGCGCCTCCCAATGGTTTATTGAGGTGCTTCTGCACAAGCTGTTCCCGTTCCAGACAGACCCTGGTAGCCAGCCAACGTTCCGCGTCTCTCTCAAAGAACTCCAGGTTCTGTTCAAGCACCAAGTCGGGATTCTTCATGTTCAGATGTTCGAGGACCATGATAAGGTAGTGCATGCGTTGTTCTGAGGGCAGCGGGTCCTTGACGGCAAACAAACGCTCCAGCAGCTTCTTGACATCTTCCTCATACAACCCAGTTGCGTTCTCTACTACTGATTGGGCCATAACATGGTTCAACCCCGCCCTCTCCAACACATCTTTCCTTGGGATTTCCGTGAGACAAAAGAACTCAACCTTGAACTTTTTGACTACTGGGATCTCTTTAGCGATTTCATCGATAATCGCGTCCTCAGTCGTAGGCTTGCCATCTCCATCCAACAGACGACCTTTCTTGTTCATCTTTGCCTGAATGAAGATGACAGGCCTCTTGAGAACAATACCAAGTCCGTCCAGTATCTTGAAAGCAATTTCTAGTACTCCCAGGGCCTCCTTGTTGACTCGCTCCCGCGATAGAAGGACAATGGTCTTTGACAACACAATAACACATATCAGCAGGTAGTAAACCGAGTTTTCCTTCTGCAATCCCTCAACATCGAGGATGTCAATGGCATCCTTGCTCAGTTCCTTCAATTTGTGTTCGTCGGAGAGGCGCCAGACCCCTTTCGTAAACGATACAGCCGAATCTGATGTCTTGAAGTATGGATTTTTGTTGCCGCGCATGACTTTGTAAATAGTTTTAGCCAATCGACTCTTCCCTTGGCCAGGGTTGGCTGGCAATAAGGGATGCAACATCCCCGAAGTGAAGGTTGAAACCTTCAATGCCATATGCATGGACCTCCTCATCATGATTCGCTAACAACAATGGGACACACAATGGATTTCCATCCTCGTCAAATGTCACCATTTTCTTGTAGGCTTTCGACAACTCGCGATCCGCAAGGAAGGAAGCCTTTGGCCCGTTCAGAGAACGAGAAATAGCCGTGTGGCGGCACAAAGCGGCCAAATTTGAAAGAGGGCCACTTCATACTGCTATCAATGAGATTTCGACTTGAAGAGGCTGATTCGATTCGACTTCAGCTCAGTTCGTTTATGGGAAGAAACATCCGTCGGCCCTCGTTCGAGGCTTCCGATAGCTTCATCTGCGCCATCTCCGCGGGCAGATACTTTCAAAATAGTTGATACCGCAAGATTGAAGCTCCCAAAGTAAACAGCTAAGTAAGATTCAACGAATCCGAGCTATTTGAAAGTTTGCAACGAATGCTCTTGTGTGGGATAACGGAGTGATCTTGGATGGAGCGATTCCTTGTCTTTTTTGGGACTTCCTATCTTCAAAGCCATCTGCGAAAGAGACTTGCTCGCTGTTTGGTAATAACGTAACGATTCTATCCCGTATCACTTTGACGATCGCCCTTGTTAGATACTCCACTCAATGGACTGATGTCTCAGTTCTGTGATCTGAGATCTTGACAGGATCGACGGTGGCCTCCAACTGAAAAGATACCGTACTCATGCAACGAATGGTTGTATGAAAGGAAACTTACCATACCGGGACTTTCATTACATCTGGTAGAAGTAGTTCTTCTTGATCTAGCGAGGAGGCTTAGAAAGGAATTGCACAACAGTTCGACACCTTGGTTGTTGTACCGGTGGCACGGAGGCACTTCTCAGCCCAGCCACTTTTGTAAAGATACTCGTGGCACGAATGAGGTCGGCTCGCACCCCAAACAAGGATTTCGAATTTTGATCCGGTCACTTTTGCTTCAACTCATAAAGTGATTCAGACAGCAACGAAGCCAAACCTGATGAAACTGACCATGCCCATGATGCTTCCCTCGTCTTTATCTTCCTCTTGGACAGCTCCCCTGTCGCCTCTTCTGTTGTTGTTAGCATGCTCCTCGTTGATACATCATTCCAATGCTTGTGGTGGACTATTCTGTGAACCCTCTCGACCTGTAGTCCAGGCTGGAGAAGCGATTGCTTTTGGTGTTCAAGGTCCCTTGGTGGAGATGCATGTCCAGATTCTTTATGAGGGACCTGCCGATGGCTTTTCCTGGGTATTGCCCGTGCCAGTGACGCCGCAAGAAATCTCTGTGGGAAGCGATGTCCTGTTCAGTTCGTTATTCACTGAAACCTTGCCCACCTTTAATTTGAATATTTTGGGATTCGACGACTCCGACAGTTGCACCGACGATGACAATAGGCCTGTGGCTTGTCCCTTTGCCGCTGGCTTTGGGCCCGGCGATGAAGAAGGAGGTGCTGTGATCTTGAAGGATGGCTCCGTCGGTCCCTTTGATTATGTCGTCTTGGAACCTGCCGACAATGATCCCGATTCGGTTTTTGAGTGGTTAACTACCAATGGATACGACCAACCAGAAGGGGCCGATGCGCTCTTGAACTATTATGCACTGCTGGGACAAAAGTTTGTCGCTCTCAAACTTACTAAAAACACGCCGGCTGGAGAAATTCAGCCACTCATTCTGCGATACGAAATGGAAAATGCCACAGAAACAATGCCTATTGCCTGTGTACCCATCAAACTGACGGCCATTGCGGCCAATAACGACATGCCCGTCCAAGTCTACGTCTTTGCCGACTCGCGAGCCGTACCACTCAATTATCTAGATGTTACACTCGATGATGCACAAGTGACCTGGTTGCAATGCAACAACAACCCAGCCTGCTACGATGACAATTACCGCGAACGCGTCCGACAAGCCATGGCCCCCTTTGACAATCATGGATTTGTGACGGAATTTGCAGGCGATTCTTCCATTATGGACGACAAAGTGACACTGTTGGATGATATCAATCTGCAAGAATTGGCGGCTTCGTCAGACTGGCTGGTGTTCTTGCAGGCATTGGCCACTGCCGGTGTTCCCGCCATACCCTTGGTGGACTCTATTATTGAAACCTACATCCCCAACACCTACGAAGAAGGACCCTTTTGTTCCGAATTGTACCTTCCCAATCAAGTCTTCAACATGATCAATTGCTTTGAGCAATACGTTCCTCCCAGTGACACGTGGGTGTTTGACGCACAAGGAATGGCAACGGATCTGGACGAAAAGGTCTTTCAACCGTCTCAGGCGGCCCAAGACTTTATCGATACCTACTCGTACATGACACGCATGTATGGTGTCTTGGGGCCCGAAACGATGGACAAGGATCCATTCTTTTCATTGCGATCCGATGCTCCCGATGTCAGCAACGTGCACAATGCTACTGCTGTTCCTGTCTGTGTTCCTGACGAGGGCCCGGTTGCTTTGGATATCAGTATTGGCGGGGAAATGATTTCGCAAATTTCCGCCCAACCAGGGTGCGGTGGATGGAATCCTACAGGGGTTGTTGATTCGGTGGAAGTGCCCTCGGAGCAAGTCTCTCCTGCCCTCGACGTCACCTCGTGGGGTTTTGAAGGCACAACAGCTCGTAAGTTGTCACGTTCCACGGATGGAACGTTTGCAGAGGATGAATTGGCGGAGGTTGTGGCGACTGCGGACTCCCTCGTGGTAGACCAAACGGTACCGCCCTACACCAGTGGCTCATCGACTGCATCCGATGGAAATCCTTCGACAACTTCCGCCACCAACAGTCCATCGCCTTCGGAAGGTGGGGATACTCCTTCTTCCACACCTGCCGCCAATGACAATCCATCGCCTTCGGAAGGTGAGGATACTTCTTCTTCCACACCTGCTGCAACTGACAATCCATCGCCTTCGGAAGGTGGGGACACTCCTGCTGCCACACCTGCCGCCAATGACAATCCATCGCCTTCGGAAGGTGAGGATACTTCTTCTTCCACACCTGCTGCAACTGACAATCCATCGCCTTCGGAAGGTGGGGACACTCCTGCTGCCACACCTGCTGGTTCTGAAAGCTCGTCTGCAACTTCGCTATTCGGTTTCCTTCCTTTCTCTGGAATTGGCGCACTTTGGTGTTTTCTATAGAAAACTCCATAATCCTCTCAAGAAGAGTTGTGCTTCCTAGCTACATGTAGTAGAAGTGGATACATGTACATGTATAGCAAAAGCCTTTGGTGCTACGCCTATAAGATGTAAAATCGCCATTGAACAGGAGTTCGAAATAGCCTCTGGTCCTCGATATCCCTCTATCTCTAGCAAGGCTTTCTAAAACTCTAGCTACCGGTAGCTAGCTAGCTAGCTGGCTTGTCTCATTGTTCGTTTCCAGCAAAGGCTTCGAAATTCCTCTTCCTCGGCGGCGAAATCGCGACAAACCCCGAAATTCGCTCCTCTGGCACCGAAATTCACGGAAAGCTGTTTTGTTGCTTGGTGCCGCCAATTGACAAAACCGCGAAACTCATGGAATGATTGGAAAATACTTATTCCATTCGCTCCTTTTTCAATTTTTGCTTTTCTGGAATGGGATGGACCGTCGAGTGACACTCTTTCGCAACCCACCACCCACACCACAGCGCACCACCACAACAACAACCACAACAACACAACACCGTGAATACTGCTACTGCTACCAGTACTGGTTCTGACGATGAAGGCACTACCGAGTCTCCTCTTCCATTGACTGAAGAGGCGATGTGGATACAAGGCATTTTGTTGGTGTTGGACAGTATGTGTTTGTAGGAACTGTCAACAAGAAGATGAATCAACTGTACAAAGAATACTGCAACACTGAACTCACAGAAAATCCAAGAAATGTAAGGGATTTGCCGGTGAACCCTTATTCTCCCAGTCGCTCAGCATAACTCACTGATACTCTTCACAGCCAAACATTCTGTAACCTGCCACGTGCAGAATACTGGCTCAAGGACAATTCCAGCAACAAAAAACCTGATCGTGAATTTGTTTGCCATGCTGTTGCCACAGTTGGAAGTATCATGATCATGCAGTGGGCACAACAACAAGGATTCCCATTGTATAGGTGGGCATGTGCTGGAGCTGCTCAAAATGGCCATTTTGAATTGCTCCAATGGCTGCATGCAAATGGTTGTCCATGGGATGAATGGACATGTTGTCATGCTGCTGAAAATGGACATTTGGAAATGCTGCAATGGTTAAGAGAGAACGATTGTCCTTGGGATGAGAAGACATGCAGGCATGCTGCTAAAAATGGACATTTGGAGATTCTCAAGTGGGCTCGTGCAAATGGTTATCCGTGGGATGAATTTACATGTCATGATGCTGCTTCAAATGGACATTTGGAAATTTTGAAGTGGGCTCGTGCAAATGGTTGTCCTTGGACTCTAGCCACATGTGATTTTGCTGCTGGAAGTGGCCATTTGGAAGTATTAAAGTGGGCTCATGAAAATGGTTGTCCATGGGGCTCAAGGGCATGTGCTGCAGCTGCTGGAAATGGACATTTGGAACTGGGCTCGTGAAAATGGTTGTCCATGGGATCCGCAAACATGTTCCCTTGCTGCTCGGAGTGGCCATTTGGAAATTCTGAAGTGGGCTCGTGAAAATGGTTGTCCCTGGAATGAATTTACATGCTCATATGCTGCTCGAGGTGCACAGTTGGAGATTTTAAAATGGGCTCACGAAAATGGTGGTCCGTGGGATTAATATACATGTCAATATGCTGCTCGAGGAGGTCATCTGGATGTGCTCAAGTGGGCTCATGAAAATGGTGGTCCGTGGAATGAAATGACATATAAAGAAGCGACAGAAAGTGAAAGTAGCCACAAAAATGAAATGATCCAGTGGCTACGCGACAATGGCTGCCCTGAGCCCTTGGTCTTAACATGATCTGTGGTAAGGTTGTGAATTGAATGATTCAAAAGTAGAGAATGCTCATGTTTCCCCTGGTACTGTACCATAGCTAGCTATTGGTTTGTTGGGGGGAGGTATAAAGCCCCGTGTGAATCTCTTCGTGTCTCCTTCCATCCCTTGTTGTTTCTGTGGATGGCACGCTCGCTCCCCGAGCAAAATTCTTTTACATTGCCTCGGTTCCGTCAATGCCAACAGAACTCAGTACTCATACTCTCAATTGATGTTTTTCATGCATTGCCCTTGTGAAAGCTACACATTTGTGTCTTCGTGGATCCCACAAAGCCACGCCCTTTGGCCCTCCTGCTGGTCCTCATTTTACTGCCCCTGATCCCAAGGAACCTCTAGTAGCCTAGTCCTGAATTTGACTCTTCTTTGCCAAGCCCTAGCTAGGTGGCTTCCATGGTCAGTCTGCTGTCAAACCCGTCGAGGGCTCGTTTATTGCAGTCCTTGGTGGCGTGTATTGACTGAATCCTGTTCGTGACCCACAATCCCTACCACACACTTTGCCCCATGTATGGCGCCCATCACCCGTCCCGTACGGTACCTGGTACCACCGGTATCCACCACCACACACCCACCCCAAAACTGTAATCTGCGTCACATAGAAAAGGGAGGTTCCTCAAAGTACACGTAGTAGTCTAAGTTGATATAGAATGGCTTCTCCATCGCCCACAGATACCGGTAGCGACGCTAGTAGTGTTACTTCGCGGTTTCTTCATGTGGAGCGAGAGCGCATCAAGAGAGAGCGACAATATGCCACCAAGTATCGCCGCCTGTATTCCGCACTTTTGAGCAAGCATGAAGGTCTCCTTCAGGATGCCTGGGGTGGTGATCAAAGAGCCGAATCCTGTCTCCTGGACAAGATTTGGATATCGGAGCGCAATGCCATGGCCACTGGGTTGGTGGTTGGCTGCACAGTATTGGCGGTGCTACGCGTTATTCCTCCCGTGTTTCTTCGGAGGATTGGAGGCGAAGAAAAGGTTCAAGCTGTGCGACTGGCGGATGAAGAAGCCAAACGAATTGGACACTACAAATACCAAAGGGCGTTTGGTAAGTCACAAAACAGAAACTGGAAACAGTCAAGAGGAAAATTGCCCTCCTAGCTTGGTGCCTGATGTCGTTCATGTATGTCCATCATTCTTATAGCTTGGCTAGTGGAAGGTGGATTCTCCCTATGGGTAGGTAGCCGAGCTTATGATTATCAGTCCAAGCACTACTCGGAGGATGCCTATCAAACCCTGGCCAAAGTCCCTCTCTGCAGTGGACAAAGTATCATTTCAAACCGAGTTTGCGACGAATGGGTAGACATTACAACCCGTCAAATACCCAAGGATTTTTGGAAGAATGTAGACAGCAACTCGGCAATCTACAAAGAGATGGGGCGCATCCGTGAAGAACGGGCATGGCGAGCCATTGTCCAGTTCTCGAACAATTGCGTCAAACGGAGAGCTTATGAACGAGCACTGGGAGCCAAATCGACCGTGACCGGCAACGGCGGAACTACAGAAGCAATCGACCTGCCAACAGATGTGCCTCGAGACATTGTTCTTTCCAAAGCTGATGCCGAAAGGGTCGTATCTGACTCTTCGTGGTGATATGAAACAAGGGAGGATTTATTATAGAATCGTTGGCAAGTTACCGGTAGCTACCGGTACCACGCCATCACGTGCGATACTACCTGCAGCACCAGGATGATGCTATTGGTATTTTAGAAGTCTGTTAATCTCTGGTTTGAGTAGTGTCGTAGCAAAGGCTCCTGATCCATCCGGCGAAGGTTGTGTAATCCTCAACTAGCTACCGGCAGCAAGGCGCTAGACTATTGCTGCTCGTTGACCGGTTGGAGACAATGGCGGGGACGAAGCTGAAGAAGTCCAACTTTGAATTTTCAAACTGAACTATTAGGCCAGTCATCGCCACGAATTCGATGATTGATGGAGTCTGAGACAACCCAAGACATTGACATTATTGGGATTGGGGTGGCCGCACCCGACAAGTTTCTTCATCGAGGCGAAAGAGGAGTAAATTTCAGTGAGCAAATTTGGCTCAAGGATTTAAAGTCGCAAAGATATTTAACGACTGTAGACAATTTTAATACCAGGTCCTCCATAAGTAAGTTTTGTGAGAATTCCATCCTCACTCATCATCTTTCTTTCATCTTTGCCTCGTGCTTCGTGGGGTGTCATCTCTCTGTTCCATCGAGAGGTTAGTCACTGGATATAGACTGTTGTGAGGTTGAAAGACCTACATGTGACATTCAATTCGCTCCACCATGACGAGAGCAAAGAATCGGCGCCAGAAGAGGTGCAATCCCGAAATGATGCGATGGGTATCCGTGTCCTTGGCTGTCGTTGTTGGCACCCCTGACTTTGCTTCTGCAAGTGGCGCAATCGGAAGACATAAAATAGCCATTGAGCCGTCTACGCCAGCATCAGCAGCCATCAGGACGCACCGTTCTCCTCCGTCTGAAGCCCTCTTCCAGCTGTATCGAGACCAGAGGCAAACAAGAATAGAAAAGTTGCAAGGCCATATACGAATTCAAGAAGAACAGAAAAAGCGCTACGCTTTAGATGACAATATACCACTCACTGATCGACAGATGCAAGCCGAAAGTGGCTGCCCCTTATGCTACGATGGAAGTTCCGTCTCGAATCCATCCCAAGGAACCTCAATTGCCATGGGGTGGACTTGTGGGCAACTGGGAAATTTTGTGGGGCTTAATCTTGGGCCAGGAGAATTGGAATGCTTGGAGTTTCAAACTGTAGGAGGCGTTGACTGTGGCTGTCCTAGTTCCCCCTTGGACAATGACTTTTGTGCCATGTGCACGTCGGCGGATGGAACTGCTCAACTAATACCAGATTCCTACCTGGACTTACCGATTCCTGTCACCCCCACACAACCTACAGAAGGGCTGACTTGTCAGGATTTGGTATTTGTAAGACAGCAAGGGGGTGTCGCTCCCTGCAGTTCTTTGGCAAGCTACATGAGATATTGTGGATGTCCCCAAAAAGTCCCTGATGTGGCAACTCCAAATTCACCATCAACTCCAGGGGTCGCAGATACTCCAACAGATGCTCCAACTAGTTCCACTGTAGCACCTACCTTGGCTCCAATCAGCTTCCAAGAAATGCCTCCAGCCATCAGCAATATGTTTACAACTAGTATGCCCGGTGATGGTAGCACCACTATGATACCCACTGGCGCTGGCCCTGATCCTGGCGACGGTGGTGGAACCACAATGGCGCCGAGTGCCGGTTCTGGTCCAGTTGATAAATTGGAAGACGAGGCTACAGATGCACCTAATGCCGGTGAACCGTTTTCTTGCTTTCTTTGTCCCGATCAAAACCCGCCTCTGTTCCAAAACCGGGTCCTGCCTTATTTGACACCTGCTCCATCTCCACAGAGCAACACTATACCTGTTGGCCAAACAGATCCAACGGAGACTACGACATGTGGAATGCTAGCTGCAGAGGCTGAAACACTCACGGATGCTACCGAATGCTTTGACGCCATCTTCCCAACCGTCCCTCTGGACGTCCCATCTTTCTGTGGCTGCTCCAGTTCTCAAACATGGGATCTATGCTCCTTGTGTGGAAATCAACCCATTTCTAATCCGGATCTAAACGTGCCAGGCAGCGGTGGATTGACCTGCCTGGATCTGCAAGAGTACATGCGCTTCGTCACGGACGAGAATTCTTGCAACACCATTGCGGAGACTGCTCGTGCCGCATGCTGTACGCCCCTTCCCAATTGCCCCGTGTGTGTGAATCCTGTCTTCACCTACGCCCAAGACAAGTTGTACCCACCCTTTGGATTGAAATGTTCGGAATTGAGCTTGGCCGAACGACTAGGCCACAATGTGACCTGCCCGGAGATTCAGGAACGCTTTGGCTGGTATTGCGAATGTCCCAATGCCATTCGTCCATCGTGCAGCCTGTGTGGAGACGGTGTGGACGTTCCACAACCAGAACAACCCGTCCAAGCATTGGGCGAGGGTGTCACCTGCCAAGAAGTAGACGACTATGCATCGCTGCGACCCGCGGAAACCTGTGAGAGTGACATTGCTGCGTGGAGTGTCGATGCCAGAGCCTTTTGTGGTTGCCCAGGTTTCAGCCCACGTGGAGACTGTCGCATTGCTTGTTCTTCGGGTCTGGTAGTCGATACGAATGCCTTGGTGAAAGATGAAGCTGGGATATCTATCAATGACTACCTGACATGTGGCGAGCTCTTTGCGTTTGCGCCGTTTGTGACAAGCTCGGATATGTGTTTGGCCATGCAGAGGTCGTCCCAGAATGGATGCTGTGTCGCCCCCGGCGAGGAAACAGCCGGGGACGCTGCAACCAGCAATACCAACGCAGGCCGCAACTTTCCACCTGGTTCACCAGGCTTTCTTTCCTATCCCTTCCTGAACAGTGACGGAACGTCTTCTTCTTCTGCCCAAGACCCCGTGCACGAACGAACCTCTATCACATCACCGTATGGTTCCCCCAATTATCACCATGCAGCCGCTGCTTCTAGTGCTTCACAGCAAGTAATGAGATGGGCTACATCATCTCTGCTGGTTGATGTAGCTCTATTGGTGGTAGCAGGAGTGTGGCTAGCATGATGATGCATTGCGGGGGAAATACATTCATTGTTCAAAAGGAAGCGGGGCTTTCACAGATATTATTGGGACCAATGTGGGGTATGGTATACTATAATGCAGTGCAACATCCAGTTAGCTGCCTTGTTTATTGCTAGTACTCGTACAGTAGTCGATTTAAAAAAGTACCGGCACATAGTACGGTGGTTGTTGCGAGCGGGGACAGGATAATGCAATTCTTTCATTTGAAGTTTGTAGATTGTTGCATGAGTGACAATGATGTGATTCTCAACTCTTTTTTGTAGCTACATGTACTTCCTCCAACTCGGCCACAGCTCACGAGAAAGCTCCCAGACGGCTCATCTCTTTGATTGTTCGTTTCTTTTGATTCATTCCTTCTTTGTCATGCCTTGTTTGCATTCTTATTGCTATATGGTCCCTTTAAAGTTGGGACTGACTTTGGGCGGTGCCTGCATGCCATGCAATCGATCTGGTTGCGAGACGGGTGTTTTGGTACTAAAAGAGCACACAAAGACGGATCGGTATCCTGCCGCGACGGGCATGCCGGCATGAGTGACATCTCCTCCAAAAATCAATGCGGATCCAGCCGGTGGTTTGAGAATCAAATCGGGTTGTGTGGCTGGATTTTCATCGACTTCTCGATTCCCCTTCCAGAATCCAGTGCCGCCTCCTTCAAAGTCACTGTCGGGTGTGGTGAGTGGTATCAGCACGGTCAATGCCAAATGATCCTTGTGCGCTCCAAAATATCCGCCTCCTTCGTATACATTAATGGCGGGTTCTCCTTCGGACCATTCCAATTCTCCCATGAGGTATAAATCTCGCAAAGAATCGCACATGTCTCGTATATGATCGGGTGGTGGCACGGTGGGTTGTTCTCCTTGGGCATTGAGGGGTTGTTGGTCAGCCCAATCGTTGGCGATATCGTCTGGAACAAAGAGTGTTTCAAAGATGGATGGAATCGTGTCATCGAGATGATCGAGTACGCGACACAGTATTTCATCGCAGAGCAATACAACGTCCGACGAAAAGGCTTCTGGGTCGGAGACACTGAACCGACTACGTCCTCGTGCGGCCGGTTCGTCGCGTCGTGCCACGGCATTCAACCCAGCTTGAAAAAGATCCAACGTTTCTTCTCGAGAAGCGACATCTGGAATACAAACAACGGCTTCTCCTGCTCCAATGGCTTCCCCTAATGATTGATCTTCATTTTCGGCGGCAAAGTCTTCCAACCAGTAAATGTCGTGATCCTCGTCGTCGTCTTCCAACCAGTCGTCTTCGAACGAAAAGCGTCTACTAATAGTAGTAGTAGTAGTGGAGATTCTGTTTGGATATTGCAGTAGGGGAAGAAAGGCTTGGCAGAGGGATAATACCGTCAAGAGCAGCAGGGGAAGCAATCGGAGGGAGGTCTTCGTCATCATGGTGAACAAAGATGAGGTTGTGAAATGTGAGGAGACGAGCCATCGATTGAGGTGAAGAGAAGTCGAAAAAGATTCTGTGAGTGCAATCACGGATATGACATAAGCGTGAATGTGTATGACTCGTAATTTCATTCACGCAACAGAAGACTCTGTTCTGAGAAAAATGACCCTCCGAGCCTTCCAAACTTACTTGAAGCCGCCATCAAGTTGAACCCAGCCTGCCACACTGGTTGGTCAAGTTGGTGTTGTTGGCTTTCTCGCTGCTTCATCTATCTACTCTGACATCATCCCTCACCAAGAGGCTTGGGGCAAGGCAGATCAAGGTCTGCTGATCCAGCAAAGAAATAGCTAGCTATCTAGCTAGACATCAGGCAGGCGAAGATCGACCACTAAATTAAGACAGATACCCCTCTCTTTTCCAATCACCCATTCTTCTTCAAGTCTTTCGATTGGTACTTTTTGGTCGATGACATCGATGGCATCAAAGAAATCAGAGGCATTCGGCTCCATGGCGGAAGGTCTGAAGCAACGACGCAAATCGTCGGACGTACCAGACAGCAGTGCTACCGGTAGCAGCAAACGACCTTCCAACAATATCGAGCTCGATGGCAAACGATTTTCCAAAATCCAACCCGACGACGAACCCACGGCGCATCCACCGGGCTACAACAAGAAGAAACGGGATATTGTCAAACTCATTCTCGCCGTGGTCGCTGCTGCATTGCTACGAGGGGATCCCAAGGTGGCCACTGTCTTGAGTCTTGTGTCTATTGTCTGCTTGAAAGAAGGAACACTCTTGTCCGTCAAGAATTTGAAATGGCTCGGACTCTGCATCATCTCGGGGGGCATGAGTGGGGCGTCCTGGTACCTCGAACGCAAGTCCGAAGAAGAAGAACGGGAACCAAAAACTAAAACACCAGAAGAGGAAGCCGGCTTCTTGTCGTACTTTGACAAGCCAATCTGGGCCAGTGCCAAAATTATACAACTCTGTTGGGGTACCACACTCGGCGTATTTCTGGTCAGTGCCTACATGCACGGACACAACAGTTTGCTAGAATTCGATTATCTATGGGAAGCCGAAAAACCACCCAGTGGACCACGAAAAGAACCACCGCCCAAACGGTACTTGTTGTATTAGTTAGAAACACAAGCCAACAGCAACAAAAACAGAGAAAGTGGTGAAAGTATGTACGCGGGGATTTTCAGGAACAAGGCAT